AGGCGGGGAGGGAGGCCGCAGGCCTCGGCCGTGCAGGCCCGGTACGGCCTTGCACGAAACGCCTGTAGTAGGCCGCCTTGTAATAGTCTGGTTCGTTCGGCTCTGATTAGCGTGTGATCTGCTTCTTCTCTACAGAAAGGGCCTGTCCCAGTCAGCCTTACCTTACAGACGCAGCGTGCCGACGGTAAGTAACCTCCCTGCCCCGGGCGCCCTTCGGCGGGCCCGGGCGGCTTCCCTGTGGCGGTCAGCTCAGGGTCCGTTTCCCATAGCGCAGTGCCCACGGAAAGGAACGAAACAAAGAGAGCTGTGATATTTCTTGTCATCATTTTTAAGTTATGGCCTGATAAGGTGCTGCCTTAGACTATGGTCTTTAGGATGCTGAGGTAGCGGGTATCCTTTCCTGGCCAGACGATTTGTTGGGGGAAAAAAAGTATCTTTTCCTCTTTGTATCTCCGTTTATTTTATTGAAGTGTCACTTCAATGGTTTTTAGCTTCTATGCTGATAATTCCTAGATATTAAATTACTCTATTCACAGTCAAATATGAAGCTTGGCCTTTGCCATTGTGGACTAAACCGACTGTTTTGTAAACTATTTATAACAGTAATTTGCTGATCAGAGCACTGAAGTAATTTCAGCATGCTCTTAGTTCATTCAGGGTACTTCCACTTAAAAGGCTTACCTGTCAGCTAAACGAGCAGCTGCTTGGTGTATCGTGTTTTGCAAGACTAATGCCTTGATTTGTTTGTTGGCAGAAAGCTCAGTTTGTGGTGCTTGTGGAGAAGCTTGTACTGAAAACAGTGAAATAGAAACATGAAATTAAAGCATGAAATATGAAAGTAAAGAGATACAATTTGAAATAAGATAATGTGAAGCTGCTTGAAGTACTGCTGATGGTTAAAAAGTTTAATAATGTTTAGGATGCTCAAATGCTATAGTTGTTTTAGAAAACCCTGTGAGTTTTTGTCTTAGTTTTACTTGTATTCTGTTTCGAATTCTAATCTATAGAGCACTTCTAAATATATTTTTTGCTGTGCCTCTCGTACTGTGACAGTATTAAAAAGGAAAAAAAAAATGAGGAGCTTTTGTAGCTCGTTGAAAGAGCGAGGATTACTTGCCTTGTTGGTGTTGTCTTCCCCTTCGTAATCACAGAAGCGATGGCTGTATCAGCACAGTTCAACATAGAATTAATAAAGAGGCACAGCCCTGTCTGAGTAGATCCATTTGTTTCATTTTTTAGTTGATTTGTGTACTTAAAGTCTGATTTTTCACTAATCTCTGCAGGTGCTTTACTAAAAGATGGCTAAATAGTTCTCTATTTTATGTTTTTATCAAAGGTCTAATTAAAGAGTTCCTTCCCAATGGCAATGGTTTTTTCTCTGTAAATTTGTAGTCGTGCTTCTGCTGTGGCAGTTAAACTGATGATAAAGCAGCTGTTTGAAGGCTATGGGGTGTTTTAAACAAAGACTTTCTTCCTTCTCCTCTGTCTTGCCCCACCATATTTCAGTAGCATTATAGTCATAATATGTAAAAAATAAAATCTGTATCATTAGAAGTACAATTTCAGTTCTTAATTGTTTTATTCAGGCATTACAAAGCATCTGTCTGTACCATTTATAAAAAGCTTTCATTTAGGTAGCCCGTGCCTCTGTATTAAGCAGCGTTCATCGGTTGTTTTTCTCATTTTCTTTAGTGGCTTAAACTTACTTCTGATGATGTAAAGGAACAGATCTACAAGCTGGCTAAAAAGGGCCTGACTCCCTCGCAGATCGGTAAGGTTTACGAATCACTCCTAAACGGAGACAAAACACATTTTTCTGTCACTAATGTGGACGTACTTACGTATTCATGGTGCGGATACCACTAAAACTACAGTATGTCTCATTCTTGCAAGAAGCATATTTGGTGAAGTAGTTGAGTACTTTTACGGGTTTTTTTCCAAGCAGAAAATGTGAAGCATCTGTTTAACCTTACAACCTGACCTTAGGAGTGGCCACTAACAGATGTTACAGGGAAGTTCAGTCTGCCCGGTTTCTTGGAGAAGAACTTGACATCACATCTCAACTATCGGCAGCCTGACGTTCAGGAGCTTACAGAGCCAGGCGCTGTAGCTGCGTAATAGACTAGTTCTCAGTAGTTTGGACCCCTCTAGAGCTCTGCTGAAGTGTACACATGCTACCACTTTATGTGGTCCTGAGCTATGTGGTGTAAATATGGGCCACGTGAATGATGTTTTAGTCCTGAGAGTATTAACAATCTCTGTGGTACAGTACTCTTTAAACTAAAGATGGCTGTGACATCTTTGTTAACCATAGAGAAAAGGGTGATTTAATACCAAGCTTCAGTGAGTCCTGTTGAAAATGTCCCAATGGTGTTGTAGCACTGAATGTGTTAGCTGGCTAAATGTGATGGGTTATCTGTTAAGGGCTATCTGCTGGAGTGTTTCAGCTTCTGTAAGTTGTATTTTGCTCACTCGTTGTCTACCATGTCTTCACAGTTTCCTCCAGAAAGGTTTTTAATTTAGGGAAGACCTTTTTTGGGTATTGCGTACCTGTAAGGTTGGATTCACAAGATTTGTTTGTGTAAGGTTTTTCTTTTCAGTGCGAGATGTAAATGTTTGTTTCAGGTGTGATCCTGAGGGATTCCCATGGTGTTGCCCAGGTTCGCTTTGTTACTGGCAACAAAATTTTGAGAATCCTTAAATCGAAGGGACTGGCCCCAGACCTTCCAGAGGATCTTTATCACTTGATTAAGAAAGCTGTTGCTGTTCGCAAACATCTTGAGAGAAACAGAAAGGTGAGTGCTAATGTCAGTACATAAATTTCTGTGTGTGCTTTTTTAAATAATAGAGTACTTTATTTGCAACTTGACAAAGCGAAGAGTCTTGATGCACTTCACATTAGCCACCCCCTTTGAGTAAACTTAGGGGTTTGGGGGGGCATTTTCATAAAGGAGGATGGCCTTTGTCTGTGAACAGGATCTTAAAAGCTTTGCTTAAACCACGTGTTTCTGGTCATGTTCTGATTTTGCTGGATTCATCAGACTTCAGTGATGGTGACGTGGAGTTTGTAGTAGTAGCTGTGGATTTTGTGCTTTATTAAAGCTCATCTGAATGGTACATCATGGAGAAGTCCAAGTAGTGCTTGGTTGTAATGGAGCTCTCTTTTCAAGGATAAAGATGCCAAGTTCCGCCTGATTCTGATTGAAAGCAGAATCCACAGGTTGGCGCGCTACTACAAAACTAAGAGAGTGCTGCCGCCCAACTGGAAGTAGTAAGTCTGGTCTTGTGTGACTGTTTGCACTGAAGTCTCGTAAGTTTTGTGAACGATACGCTGGGGCTGTTAGTCAGGGGGTGAAGGGTGCGTTGTGAGCAGGCCTATAGGTAAACCAGGCAGCCACAAATAGCTGTTTTTATCACTGTTAACTGGTAAATTAGTGAAACTCGTGCTGGGTAAAATGACTGTCACAACACTTAAAAAAAAATGATTGTCTGAAGGAGTGAAGCCACTGTCTACTAGGTAATTTTGATAACGCTTCGTACAAGCTGCAGTCTTTGTCCTCACTCAGATACTTTTATAGTTCATGTCACTCTCAAAATTTATTGAGAAATGGCTTAGTAGCTGTGGCAACAATGAAAGTAATTTGTAGTCTTTCTCTAGGAAAATTTAGCCAACGTAGGAGCGTTCCCATAGATGTCAGGGTTAGCTTCCCTTTTTCTGAAAAGACTCGAGTGCAGCTAGCCAGGTTTTTGAATACATGGGTTTGTGCTGTTATCCTGGGATTTGTATTTTAAAAGGAAGAGTGAAATCTTTATGCCAGAAAAAACTTTAAACAGGTAGTGAATAAGCTCAGGACTGGTGGGTAAAGCTTTGAATTGAGCGGTATTTTTGACAGCTGGTTTCAAAAACTGCTTCTGCAAGTAATATTTATCTCTTTCTCTCTCTTTTTAGTGAATCATCGACAGCTTCTGCCCTGGTCGCATAAGAGCTGGCTATGAATTACTGAAAGAATAAATTTTCATTAACTAAATTTGTGTTGTCTCTAAATGTGTCTTAGAAACTTCTGCTTGTTTCAGGAAGTTACATGTAATTGGGAAGTTTTCGGGGTGCAGCAGACGTGTGCCCATGGCTTCCACGTTGCTGTCGTAGGGTATCAAATCCGGGTGGGGGTGGTTGGCTGGTTTAGACCAGCTGTACAGTTCGTGCTTAAAGTGGGGTTTTTTACCTGACAGCCTCAAGTTAGTAAAGCGACTATTCATTCACAGCAAACGCGGGGCTGTGCCTTGTGTGTGTCCTGCCGGAAGAAATGGGGAAGAAAACAGGGAGAGGAGGAAGAATTGGAAATTCAGAAAATGTAGAAAAGATTAGGCGGGGGGGGGGACACACAGAATTGACAGGAACTGTTGCTGTCATTTGTAAGTAATTTTAATTTAAAGAATAATCTTTGAGATTTGGGTAAATACAGTTTAGCTCTGCTCAGATGCTTTGCCTTTACTGAGGGGTTTTCCCTAAACCGAAGGGGCAGTAGCTGCTGTGTGGGCACTGTTGCTGAGGTTGTGCCTCAAGTTCTAAATAGCTTTGACTTAAAGAGGTCTTCCTGCTGGAGAAATGCAGAGAACAGACTCACAGCTTTTTTCTTTTTTAGGAGAAAAATGTAAATGCAGTTACTCTGAGCTATTGTGACTTGTTTCTGAGTCTTAGTGCATTACTGAACTTTTGCCGTGTTAAAAAGTTAAGTAAATTTAAATAAACCCTAGCATTTTTGTCCAGTGTAGTAGGTACGTTCTAGATCATAACCAGTGGGAACCTGGCAAGTTTTGGATTTAATTTTGTAGAAAGACAGGATTGCTCTGCCCTGATCATGAGGCTGAGTACAGACTTGTGATTGAGAGTTTTGAAAGAAAAGCACTGCATTCCAGTGTAAAGTGCTCCTGTCCGCTCCATCGGAAGCCTCCGTGTGCTTTCAAGGTATTTGCTTTCATTTCTTGAAAGCTTCTGGTGATTACTTGCCAGGCTCTCCCAATGATAATTCGGTGTTCTGGGGTGTAGATGCAATAAACCGCTTTCATGATGTCAAAAAGGAAAAAAAAAATAAAAAAGGGAAAGTTGCTGTGAGTCTTTGGGCTTGGCGGGACCGCCGGCTGGAAAGCAGGCGGGCGTTTTCCCTACCCGCTGTTCTGAGCCGGCTGCGTGTAAGTAACGAAAGTACCAGCAGGTGGCACTTGGGAACGCTGGTGGTTTTAAACAGTGGCGTGTTTCCAGCGGCGCCACCCGGAGATCGAGTGTCACGGGTGGTGGTGCGAGGCCGTGAAGAGCTGATGCGTTGGGGACCGCAGCCCTCCTGTGTACGCGGTGCCAGCTGAGCGGGTGGTTTTGGGCACAGGCGTGTTCAAACTGACACCGTCCTTGTACCTTGGTGCCACGGGGGTGGTTCGGTCTGAGCAGTCTGTGCTGTTTCCTGGCACTGGTTTGCTGGAGGGGCCGAGGGCAGGCTGTGCTGTGCTCGGGGCGTTTCGCCCATCCAGGGGGCTGACAGCTGCTGACCTTGCCAGACAAAGAGGGAAGGACGGGGTTGTTAGAGTGATGGGGTCTGCCTCGCAGGAATGGAGGAGAGAGGGGCATACTGTGTAAGTCAGTGCCTTGGGGTGTGTTGTCAGGAGTTAAAATTACCCAGGGACAGATCCTGGGCTTGCTGTAAGATCAGATCCAGGTGTTGCAGGTCCTCCTGAGGACAGAGAAGGAGTGCAGTACACCGTGTTTACTGCCTGTAGAGTTTGGCAATCTCTTGTCGATCGACAGTACTGGTACTGTGATTGTACTGTCATGCACGTACATTTCTAGTGCTTGTGTTGCTCAAGAGTCTGTGTTCCCTGCAAATCACACAGGCTGGCCGAAGTAAGTTGTCCATTCTCATTAGGATTATCAGTCGCAGAGGTCCGCTGTCAGTCGAACTCCTTTGCCCCAGGGCTCGCAGGTTGTCTGCTCAGCAGCTGGTGTGCCCCAGGGCAGTGGGTGCCTGGCCAGGCGTGGGAACAGTGGAGCCGAGGCACTGGCAGGGGTAAATCCTCCCTGGGGAGTGGACCCCTACACAGCATGACACCGAGCAGCGGATTTGGAGGATGTGGTCCCACCGTGTGTGTCAGAGGAGTGCGGGACCAGGAGGAACGTGGTCCTGTGGAAGCCTCAGGTGAGCTTACCGTTTGGGGCTGTGGGACAGGACTGTGCCTGGGTGAAACTTTCAGGTGGTCTTCTACCTACCGTGTTAGCCGAGCACCAGGACTGCGCCAGGCGGCTCGGGACTTGTGATCCTGCTGCCTGGGTACCATACAGGTCATGACTGCTCAGGAGAGTTAGTGGAGTGTTTCCTGCTGCTCTGGGTAAAGGTGCTTTGCTTCCCTTGGATGGAGAGATGTGATAATGGGAATAAATCCAGATCTGCAAGTAGTTGTCCAGAATTAATCCTTTTTGTGAACCAGCACAAACTGCCTGCCCCATGACTATCTCCAGGCACCACCCTGGCTTCTCTCTACCCAGCAGTCTGGGGTGTTCTGCAGGCTTTGGGCGCCACTGCCCTCTTGATTTCTCCCGTCACAATGTCTCATGTCTTTATGGTTTCTTTCGCCATGTCTTAACCTTTGGAAGCTATGTTCCTGTTTCTGCCTCATTTCCCAGCAGCCTTTTCTGAATTTCCAGGGTTGCCCTCTGCAGCATTTTTTGCTCTCCCAGCAGGTACAAATCAGAGAGATGAGTACTTTTATCCCTATCCCACCGTGAGCTTTTTCTTGCATTGTGCCGGGGCACATGTCAGAAAGGAGCTCACAGCCTCTCCCACTGCCAGCTCTCGGCTCCTCCGGCGCAGTGAAGCCTGCCCTTCCTCCTTCAGAGAGGTGCAGCCACAGGGCCTCTGCCTCCGCAGCGAGCCACGGTACGTGGGGGTCCCCTCGGCAACCACGTGGCCACGCTGTGCTTTGCTGCTCTGTACCAGGGTTGTTCACGTGGCAAGTTGGGTTCACAAAAGCCTCCCGCTTGTCTTCAGTCCTTGCCAGCGCTGCGGCTCTTCCAGGGCTGGGGGTTGTACGGCAGGGGATGCTTCCCTGTGCCTCGTGAACGGCTGGTTTTGAAGACTGGCTGCTGAGGCACCCTTTGCTCTTGCAGAGCCCCTGGTGGCTGTGGGTGTCTGCCATTCCCTGGGAAGGTTTGCCATAGGATTTTAGGAAGAACAATGATGATTTTTGCAGTCGCTGCTGGGTTGCTAAGGGTGGTAAGGAGATGTCCTGGTTTGAGCTAGAACAGAGCCGATTGTCCGTTCAGTGATTTTGCTCTTCAACTAGGTCTCCTCTCGAGTGACTGCACTTTCTGAAGCTAACTGTATTTTTTTTTCTTCAGTTAGTGTCTGCTTCTAGAAGCGATAATGCTTGATGTTTATAGTTAGTACCAGGGAACGGCATGCAGAAAGGCTCTTGCTTATACTTGCTCTTGTAGAAACCAAAGTCACTGCTAAATCTTGTGCCCCACATTGAAATGCCATAAGTAAAAGGGTCGTCAGTAAGGTCACACCTGCAGGGAGGAGCGGACAGGACGGGTGATCCAAACGTGACCAGCTGAGTATTCCATTCCGGGTGCGTCATACTCGGTGTAAAGCTGAGGGATCACAAGGGTCAAACCTTCTGCTACAGCTGGCGTCCCAGGAGGACTCTGTCCGTTCTTCTGCCTTTGATCCCAATCCCTGTGTTCCCGAATCCAGTTCCCATTTGCTGCAGAGTCCGGTCTGGGACTTTCCCAGTGCCTGCACTGCAGCATCAGTGGTGATGTGATCGTCATCAGGGGAGTTTGATACTGGTTTTTTATGTATTTGTTTATATCTCATTATTTTCTTATTGTTATCTTTTTGTTGTTACTGGTTTAGTTTTTTGTTTTCTAATCCATAAGTTTCTTTCCCTTATTCTCTCTCCCCCTTCTGGGAAGAGAAAGGGGTTAATAGAGAGCTTCTGTCATTCATTTAGTGGCCAGCCCAGCCTTAACCTGTGACAGGAGAGAACTGGTTTCCTTCAGGACTGAAGCATCGAGTTCTCCATTGGACATGGCACAGGGAGATGGGACATGGGCGTTCTTTGGGTTATAAGTTTGTATTTCCACATGGGAAGTCCTTTCTTATCTAGGTGTTTTCTTGGGAGAATGGTCTTCCCTTTCTCACCCGCCTTTGGCTTTGGCCTGCACCTTCTCCCCATGCTCCCCGTTTCTGTGCTGTAAGTGTTTGCCCTGACGCTTCTGGCCGAGTGTCTGAGTTCCTGTTAAGGACATTTCCCCCTTTTTTTTTGCAAATCAGTCAAGGCAATTTTCATCTGTTCCTTTAGGCGACGTGAGTTTAGCTTACCCTGACTTGAGTCAGCTAGGGCAGCATTCAGATGTATGGACACAACTTCATGCTGCTTCACTTCCACAGTTCATCCTGCAACAGTAGGTCTGGAAAGGTGAGGTTTTATTCCTGTGCTTGAATCAAGAGGTGACTGACGCCACGCGCAGTTTTTAGCTTCATTTTTAGGAAGGAGTTTGAGGTGACTGTTAAGTATGGGAAAGATTAACCCTGACAGGGATTTAAGGGAAAGCTTTGATTCAGTCGTGTCCAGGGGACACTTTGAGTGCTAGGCATCTGTTCGTTCTGAAGGATTTTGTTGTGTGTGACTGGTTCCCTCGTGAGGGCAAACCAACAGTCTTTTACCTCTGTGAATTTTTCTAATTGACAGTTCCTGTTTAAAGTTACTTCTGTGAAAAATAAGAAACTTCTAGTGATTTATGTCAAGTAAGCAAGCTTAAACACTAGTTATTCTGATGATAAATCATTGCTGCTGCTGAAAACCATGAATTTCTCTAGCTGAAAAGAGCAAGCTATAGTAATAACAATCAGAAAAGGCAAGGAATTATTTGGATTTATAAATGAATGGCTGCAAGTATATGCTCTTGTGATTTTTTCTGGAAAGCAGTTTGTAGTCTTCAGTTGCATTTGCTGCCAGTAAGCTTTTTACAGTCTTC